TTACAGTTGACTCCGACGGACTTACTAGGATACACTTTGTAGGTCATGTCTATAAAATGTCTGACGATGGCGTTGGTTGGCAGTTGAAAATCGTACAATTTCATGTTTTGTTTTCATTCCAGTCAGTCATAATATTATTATTACGCCAGTTAAAAGAATTTCAAACTCATGTCAAGGTTTTCCTTAGTCAAGCGTTTTGATATACTATTTACTTCCAACCTAGTTTTGTCAGTCGACATCAATAGGCTCCCTTGCTCTACTCGATGGTATTCAACATCTTCCTAAACACCTCAACGTTTAACATGTTTTTTCGTTTTTGTTATTCCCTGTCTTCTAGTTAAAGACTTCAGAATTGTACAACAAAGAACAATTGAACCTCTTCAGTGATTCAATTTACTCCCTTCATTTCAAATAAGTTATAGTTTGTGACAGACTTTTGCACAATACAATTTTTTGATCATTTTAATCAACCATAGAGCATATTTATCAAACGTGTTAGGCCTTTAAATCACTGAGTTAACCAATGTCTGTCAACGGGGCATCAGGTTTTTCTCATTTGTCTCTGTATCTTTTTGATGGGCAGTACCATTTGAGGAAGTCAAGTAGTGGCAATTCAAAGAACTTTGAACGTTATATTTTCACCTCAGTTTTCCCCCACCACTTTCTTTCCTCTTTTCCAATTTTGTACATATATACGTACGTATACACAAATGTGTGTGCCTGAATTTTCGGTTCCTTGAATATGTATACCTCTGTAAATCTGCCTGTCAAACTTACAGAAAATAGATACAGCTTGAACTGACTCATTTTCATGAAAACCGGTGGTAGCTTAAATGCAGTTTAGATTCCAGGTTCGAGGAAAGATCCACTTCTCACATTCCAGCGCTCGATGATTGATGTCGGGAGATACTTACTGGAGGTAGGTCGGTTATGTCGGTATTAACTGATAACCGTTTGGGTATCAAAGTTTGGTTTCTACACATGCCAAAGAAACAGTACACCGGTGAGAACTTGTGGGAATGCGCTAGTATACTTTTTGCTTGTTGAAGTTAATCATAAATATAAACATTTGGGAACGCAAGTCCAATAGTTTGGACGGCCATTCAACTGGCGCACCACGAATTCTAAATAGTATTCAAATGTGTCGATCTAATAATTTATATATATATCACCCCGAACCGTCAGCTTCACAGTGGTTTAAGGGTGATAGACGGTTTGAGCAACTCAGCGAAGTTGAAGGTGATCCATTCAGATGAAAACTCGCCTTTTCGCTAACTAAAGTTGTCGAGATCTCGTAGACATTAGCACAGCATTAATAACACAATAGACATTCACCGGTATCGCTCACTCATAGTTGTTGATGATAAAAGAATTAAGGAGATCCGAACCCGACCACGTTTTACATCTCGCTTGTATGTAAGTTGGCAATGCAAGTATGTTCTAGAGCCTACCTTTTTGCTGCTCTGGCTGATCTTCTCACATAACCCTAAGTTATGTAATACAGCCGCGTTCACATCTGTCTGCAAATGCTCCAGCAAGAACGAGTTATGTCTCTTATTGACACGCAATGGCCATGGTTAATGCCTTTGCATCTATCGGTTAGCGGCTAGTGACCCTGAGTAACACCCCGTTGCATCATTATGACTATTCCGCGGAACGAACCAACCGACACAATCTCGCCAAGATACATCAACTGTATTTGCAATGCCTTGCTTGATTTTAGCCAACTAGCCGATCAAACGAATATCTGGCTTTCCAGCGTATACCGTAGTGTGTGCCTGCATGAAGCCACTGCCACCTTCTTTGCGAATTGTCTTGCTATAAGAGCTGTGTTACTGCTTTGTTTATTGAATGACCGCGCACATATGTAACCTTGTGTGCGCGAGTGGATCCACTGTGGAGGTTTCCATAACCCACTGCACACTGAACGAGCTTCTCCCTAGGGTTTGGGTCGCATTATTGGGGGGAAAATAGCTCATCTACTTCACAAAATGCAGTTCATTGGACGTGTAATCATCTCAAACTACTCACGAGTAGTGAGATTCTCAATGCTTAAATTATGATTCAGGTAAAGCCTACCCTCGCGCAGTGAATGCATGTCGCATCCCATAGTGAAGTCCGATATGACGAGGAAGTAATGTACTCCCCGATAATGACTGCCGAGTGAAATTATAGAATATATTCATCCTACAATTTACAGTAGTGGGGAAAAGTATATACTTATCAGTGTATATCTCAGTAAAGGCAATATAACGGTCCGTATTACATCATTGCAGTCGTAAGCTAAATTGTTAACTAAACATCTTTTAGACCAGAAGATCTTCTATCTGAAATTCATGGTCACATGTTGAAAAATTGGACGATGTTGAGATTAACTACTCTGATAAAACTCAGACTATTAGTTGAAAATTCCCGGAGTAGGCATCAGGAAAACAGTTTGGTGAATAAGCACTTGTCCGGTTATTCATCATCAGGTGGAATACATAACGGATATGCAAATCAGTGTTGTCAGGGCGAAGCAAACGAAATAAGTAAAAAGTTCAAATGAGGTAAACCACTTCATGGGTAGTGGTGGAAACAACGCTCTGATACAATTACGTCACAATTATAACAAGGTCGGAGACGTATAACTCCCATCGACCACGGCATGTGGTCAACCTTGGCAACCGCAAAACGTGAAAGATGCGCTTCTGTGCAAACAAGAATGGATTATTCATTTACATTCAGATCACTTCGGCTATGAACATAATTATGCATCCCAATGATTTCTATTGACTGCTTTAACTCAGCAAATCGGGCAAATAAAATTCCGGGTTGACAGTATGGCGCAGATTGACAATATGTGCCACGGTTGTTCCGGTAACTATCCTAGTGATTCTGCTATCGATAGAGACCCGGACGAACTTATGGACGAGTACAAACAAGCACGTGGACAAGTAAACCCACCTAGCTGGTTCCACAGAAACAATTAAATGAGTATAGACCAAAATTTGCCGCGGAAATGGGCACTTTATCCTTTAGCTAGCAAAATAAAGCTGCAGTGTAGCTGAAACAAACGCAAAACTCAATAGCATAGGAGGTTCTATTGGCAACATTGTTGAGACGATAGTGACTGGTTTGGTAGACGAGTCACACATAAACGGTTAAAAAATATGCAGTGTTTTATTTCTCGCTAGGATTGCCATTTTGCACAGACAGTGTACCTAGAAAAGACAACTAATCGAGAATCGTATCTTATGTACCTATTTTCACGGATTACTCTGCCAAACAGTGTATGGGATTTTTCTTTTTGCGTCATAGGGACAAAGCTGCTAGAATAGATATACTATCCTTTCCATGTTTCTCTCCTCTAGATTTTACGTTGAACAGATCCATCCGAACGACACCGAATGAACAAATTTAGAAAGGCTGGTCGATTGTTAAGTTCAGCCTCTACTGTAAATCTTACGTTCGTTTGGGTTAGTTGAAAATGGTTAAGGTATCCATTGAATTATCTTGTTTGCTAACTTCATACAGGATATCATTTGCATACAGCTTATAAACACTACATACGCGAGTGGCTTACGTCAGATGGACCTTTTCGTACTTCGCCATAAAGTTGCCTGTAAACAACGGTCACAATGAAAATCCCATTGCCAGACTATCCATTTGCTGATATACTTCTTCATTGAGTTTAAATGTTGTGAGTATAAAAGTACACCGAGTGTTTCAACTCTGTTTAGGGTATAGGTACACCCAGGTTGTCAGCCACAGTACAATCATATAAATAGTCTATTATTTGTTTCGGTGGGGCAGTTGTAAAATAAAGCGATACCTCACGAAAAGCATATTCTGTCCAGTCAAGTTAAGCCTGTCGACTGTATTAACGAATTCAAAGGAATCTCATAGGCTACGCTTTGACAATCTCTATCTGGCCGGTTCAAGGAAGAGTGATATCAACGTAGCTAGAGAGTTATATGGTGAGTTATACCATACTATCAAATTGGTAGATGTAAATGCTTGGAACAACCGAATCAAGACCACAGGACAGTAAAAACATGATTGGAGACAAATAGCGATCGATAACGTGAATAAACAATGCAGATTTATAAGTTAAATGTGTTTTTTTTTGATAGACTGATAGTGTTTCGGGCTGTCCAGTCTATTACCCTTCTGCACATTTCGATGCCTCAATCAAGCAATAGTCAGAGTTCAGTTAAAGAAGAGAACCTGTGAAATCTGTGAAGTAGTTTACAGATGCGATCTTAAGATCAATTTCCACTCAAATATTTCTTTGGAAGTTACAAGTACGCTGAAATCACAGGTATGAGTTCAGACATTAACGCTTTGATGGAAAATGTCCCGACTGCGTTCCTCTTTTACTTCTAAACTATGGCGGTTTTAGTTGACTATTGTGTGGCAGTTAAGCATTGATGTTAAAACACTTTTGCTATTGTCGAAGATGATTGATTTGTGCTTGCGTGGCATCCATCTATGAATGGATTGCATCAGCTTAGACTATTTGTATTTGAGTCTTACATTTTCATCAAGTTGGCTATTTATCTTACCTTCCAGATAATTTACCAAATATACTGTTATAGCAGGTATTTGTGTTATGGGTGGGAAACCATGACAATACTACTGATGCTATTATGCTAGATGTGTTTGGTGTGGGTACCACCAGCCGGAACGACATCTTTTCTTTTGTCAGGTATGATTCAGGTTTTACCACAAGTTTCTGCTTCAAACTATTTAACCAATCGTTATGCCAGGATAGCTGACCTGAGGTAAACCTATCTATAAATTACGTTAAAAATTTATGAGATCGACTGGTTTAACAAAACGACACAATCAGTGTAGTTATGCTGGCTACATCCCACATGATCAACGCCAGTGTTGGCATCATTTACACGCATTTAACTGAAATCGTCACTTCTTCATGTGCGGACTTCCTGAAAGCACTACTAATAAGTAGTCTGGCAGGTTTATGATTTTAGATGAGACCCAATTGTGAAAAGTCAGGGCTTCGGCTGGATTCGAACCAGCAACAGAAATACCATGCCTGAACGCGAAAAGCGCTCTACCAGCTGAGATACGAAGCCACGCCAGGGGCTCGGAAATTCCACATTTGGATTCTTTACTCACCTGTTCCACTGCCTCATATGAAATCAACTAAATGATCCAGGAGATCGACTGCCCCGGCAAGATTTCTCAAACATTTCACAATAGAATCCACCAACGCCACTGTTGAGCGTAGAAATGGTATTACTGATGTGTAGTTTGATAGATTTATGGTTTCAGATGAGTTTGGGTCTTATCTAAAATGTAAGCACTGGCTTCTTTGATTTCTCATTAAAGCCTCAGTTCACTAACTCATAGAAGAGAATATGGAATCACATTAACCGATTACGGTTTACTGACAGTTTATTCCAGAAACACAGCTTCATCCATGCTTGCACTCAACAGGATGGATTTCGAGGAAAGTGTTACAACTGGACGGTTTTGCATAACAAATCCAATTAGCAATGTGTATCAGTCTTTTGGAGAGAGATAGGTTCCAAACAGTGCCGTTTATTATATTGCGTTCTAGATGAAAAGTAACATCTACCATTACTGTTATTTCATAAGCTAATTGCTATTTTGATTTTTTCTACACAATAAGGTACGTAAGGCACGAGTTAGTTTCAGCCACATGTAAACACAGTAATAAATTTCTAGTTGTTATAGTAAGGATGCAAAACACTGCACTTCGGGTTCCGCATTTTTCTGGGCTACTGATTGTAATCACATTCACGA